TAGAAGACACCCAAGTCCCTTCCACTCTGTTATTCCGTTATTTCTAAAATGTCTTTTCTGTGAAGGTGCATTAAAACTCCCAGGAAGAGGAAAAGGTGGGCATTCTGCGCCTCTCCTGTCCCAGGGCCCAAGAAGCCCCACCTGTTTGCATCATGCTTCCTTCTAGGACGTCTCTCTCCCAGGCGCCCTCCTGGAACTAAAGTCGGAGAGGGCTGCCAGCTTTCAACCTCTCCGGTCACCTTGGGCGTGGAGGGGCCCACAGAGAGTCGTGAAGTATGTTTTGATTGAAAGCGTTTTGAGAGGACACGTCGGGGGCCTGCCAAGGAGATTGGCCTCCGTGCCAGGGCAGCATGGAGAAGAACCAAAATAGGAGGCGCTGTGTCACTCTGACCCAAACGGGACACGTTCATCATCGCCTTCTTGAGCTGTAAACAAGGCCTTCTCGGTTACCAGCCAGAGAGGGGTTGTGTTTTCAGAGCGGGCTTTCTCCTTGCCAAGAAACCGATAGCTTCCTCTCGCTGAGCAGGACGTGAGGCTGCACTTCGGAGGGTGGGAGGAATATACGCCCTGCCTGCCAAGCGAAGGAGCCTTTTCAAGACCCTGCAAGGCTATGGCGTTTCCTCAGCTTCCCAAGCAGGGCGGAGACAAGCATCATTTAGCCTCCCCCCCCTTTTCAGATGGAGGACGGGAGGGGGGCTGTTCAAAGTAGTCGGCCGTCTCGTGCTGCCTTTTTCAGGGACCCCAAATGCCGGTTAAGTCTCAGAGAATATCAGGTGCCTTGCTTGGTGGATCAGAAAAAAAAAAAGAGGTCTTTTTTTCTAGGCGTTTCCTCTGCAGAGCCAAGAGGGCTTCTGGTCGTGGAATGGAATGGGTCCTCCGTGGAAAGGAAATTAGAGAAGTGGGCCAAAATTAACCCCCCACCCACCCAAAGCCTGAGCCAAATGCAAAATTAAGATCTCGGAGAACAGAAATCAAATGCAAGGGCCTACGTGGCTTGCAAACTATCTTAATCTTAGGAATTAAGCAGGGGGCTGAACCTTGAGCAGAGGACACAGAAGGGGGGGG